GTTCCGTTCGCATCCTCGCTTCGTTCGTCGCCGGGGTAGATTGATCCGGAGTCCTTCGGCTTGGCGTTCGGTAGTGGGTGAGGCGAACCGGACAGCAGGCCAATCGAACCAGCCAATTGGTGCTTGTTCCACATGACTCAGAGGTAATTCGTCTGGGTCTCAAGTTGGCAATTAGCATACAAAAGTGGAACCTGCCTGCCCTCGGAGCAACCAACCTCTCTAACCTCTCCAACCTATCCATGAGAATCGCTATGACCATGCCACGACCTGAAAATCATCGACGTGAAACCGCCGAACTCATCGGCCCAAACCGATCGGCCGAGATCGATTTGGTCGGCGGGTCTCCGCGAAGAGCCGAGGAACGAGGTGAAGGAGATTGCCAAGGGCATTCAGATGCGTTCCTCGGAGATGAAGCCATTTTCGAAGCCGAGCGCCGAGGATGAAGCCGGGCGCAGGTGAGTATTAGGTGTTGGGACATGTCGCCAGCATGTCCGATGCCCATCCACAAGGATTTGGTGATTTGGTGAGGAAACAGAAACAAACTGAAGAACAGCCTGCAGCCCTGTCCATTTGACAACAGGCCCATGAAATGCGTGTCCGTTCGGCTCAACGTATCTCATTGCGTTTGTCGAAGTCAAGCCTTTTCAATCGGACAACCTTTTCGTTGGTTTGGAAGCGAGACTCGTGGTGTGTTGGGGGTGCGCTGCAAGTTGAACAGTCACATGGGCCTGTGAAATCTTTCAGCTAGCAGCATCTAACAAGTCTAGAAGGGTGTCCTTGTTTGCTCTCAAGCTGTTTAATTCAGATCAATCGTTTCCAACTTCTATCAACATTGAACGGGGCAAGGTGTTTTTGGATGCCTTCCTTGATTTGTCAAATTGATCACTGTTGCCAAACCTACCTGGCAACAGCCAAGGTATGTGACGGATAGTGGTGTAACTAACCGGTCTGTGGAAGGTTACAAGGTCCCACCGATAGATGTGGCTGAGCTTAGCTCGAGATGAACAACACGCATGAGATATGTATGTGCTCCTTTCAACTCCAAGCCCCTGTTCCACATTTGCAGTCTATCCCCACGTGCAAGGGAGTCATGGCAAGGAGCGTTAACGATCGCCGATAGCCTCCAACCCAAAGTCCTCTCGAAGGAACACTAGAACACACTGGAGCGTTTGCCCTAATCTTTGGATCAAGTGTTTGACCCTTCCATTGAATTTCTGTTCTCATCCATTTGGCTCAAAATAGAATGCACCTGCAGCTGTGCGTCCCCCCTTTCTCGCAGTTCTGATGAAGTGTTACTATAGTAGCTTCTTGCTCCGTTCGTAGCGATGCCCGAAATGTTCCGTTCATAGCGAGTGGCGCCTCCAAGGCTTGGACGTGACCTTGCAATTTCCTTCGCTTCGGCGGCCCATCAAGCAGGATGAGAGTATCGCACTGGTGGCGCGCCAAAGCAAGGGAGGCCTGGTGGAAACCGGTCCACCCCCATGGGACGTGCGGTTTCAGGGACGAACGCAGCTTGAAAGCGCACGATGAGCGGCTGGCTTTCGATTGGAACACCTGGCTTGGAGCAACCAATGCGATCCACCCAGACGGGTGAACACAGGACTCGTTGGTTTGCACTCTTCACGAGTCCTGTGTGATCCCATTCTTAGACCTATAGGGTGGGAGTGTCTAGGTGTACCATAGAGAAATTCACCACCGGTCCAGATGCCGCTTCAGCCATCATCCCAGGCATCTGGGTTGCTGGAACGCATCCCAGGTCCCATTCCCAAGCAGTTCCAGAGCTTCTCCAGTTGCGCATAACCATCATATCGTATTAGCACGATAACATATGATAACTATCATATTGATCGGGCGTTCCGCAGCGCAGCCGCGGCTGCGGCACCTTGTTTCATCATTGCCATGTCCACCCCCAAACAACAACACGTCTCGCAGAACGAAGCACTGAGCTTCTTGCTACTAGTAGTGATGCCCTCCAACCTAGTAGCGATGGCCTCCAACCTAGTAGCTTCTTGTTACTACTAGTAAGGCACTTGTTACTAGTAGCGATGCACTTGTTCCGTTCGTAGCTTCTTGTTACTAGTAGTTCGCCAGACTTCTGCGAAACAAAAACACATCTCGCAGAGCGAAGCGCAGACCGACCGGAGCACGTCAGGCCCCTTGATCGCCTACGTCGAGATTTGCCTCCTCCCCGCCGATGGCCGCCGTCCGGAAGATGAGCGACCCATGGACGGAGCGCCCTTGAAGCAGAGGTGGAATTTGGTCGATCGAACTAATAGATTCTCCCAGATTTCGTCCAATTTGATGTGAAATGTGTGAAAAAATGATCCAAACCAACCCCTTTGGCGGACACGTTGATGTTTGCCTCTTCGGAACGCGCTCGCGTCGCGTTCCGCGTTGGCAGCCGGTCCCGACGGGTCGTGGCCAAGGCGACGCCGTGGCAGCCCTACCTGAGCAACCTGTGCGTCACCCAGCGCGCGCGGCGCAGCGGCATCGGACGGGCGTTGCTGGCGCTGATGGAGGAGGTGATCCGATATGTTTGGAAGGATCAGAGGCGCAGGGGATCGAAAGCAGTCACGGAGCGCGTTACGAGCGAGTTCGGAGCGTCGAAGTAGTTACGACGTCGACGCGTTCGACGTTTTTGGTCGGAAGTATGGGGGAAGTGCAAAAGTTGGTGACTGGATCTTTGCCCATCCGTGTTTAGGAATGCTCCTCCCCTCAAACAATCTATAATCAGAATTTTATTTTACATGATTGTAAAGATATTCTCTGTTGACGTAAACAATGGGCTCCAGCCGCATGTAGAGCAATGATCAACTGGACTCGAGCCCTCCCAGCATGGGTCTGTAGAGCGACTTTGTCTTAGACTCAAGGGCCTGTAGCAGCCTCCTTGACCAATCTGAACAAACGCGGGGTCTGCTGCATGAAGGATCTACCTCCACATCGACAATTACGGTCCGGCCAAAGCCTTGTATGAATCCGAAGGCTTTGTCGCCACTGGCCCAATGGATGCGGAGGACGTCACTCACATGATGAAAGAGCTTCCTCCTGTGGAGGAAGAATTAGACGATGACGATGAGGATGAAGAGGCGCCGGATGAGGACGAGGAGGACGAGGACCGATGCAGAGATATGCACAGTGCTCTAGGCAACTCAAGATTGTCTAAAGGACCGTGATTGCCCACATCAACAAGTACAGTTGATACACCATGGGGTGTAAATCAATGAAGACCATATAAACAAAAGAAAACCATTCAAATCACCTGTGGTTCCACCCATCCATCCTGGCCCATCCTGGACCTGCAATTTGACCAGCCTATTTGTTGTCATTTTCCTTGTTGCAGTTGTCCGAATCGCTTTGGATCCTGGGGTCGATGTCACTAAGGAAACCCAAATGCCAAAGGAGGTTAGACACCTACAGTGGCGGATCGCATTCCCTAAAGGTTCAGGACCATCCGAACAGGTACCTGGACCCTATAGGATTCTCGTGTTCCAATTTTGGGAGGTCTCTTTTTCTTGGCTTATTTTTTTGCAACACCTTCAATTGTGAGGCTGTTTTGATCTCCTCAATGGCAGGTCCAGCTGTTGCTTCTGGTCCAAGCAATCGATCTCGCCACCATGTCCAAAAGGTTGCTTTCTTCGGCCCATACTGCATGTCCGTTTAACTTCATGTCCGTTTCAACCAGCGGTATTTGTCAACCAAACTTCCGCAGGCCCATTGGAAATATAGGTGGCCCCACCTGGTGTCTAACTTGAACAAACAAAATAGCATGGCTGGTGTGGCTCGATGGCTCTCTTTTCACGCTGTTCACCCCAACGGAACCTCCTTCTTCAGGGTGTTTTATCAGACTTCATGACCTTGAGGGCAACCGAGTCGAACCTTCATCGAACCGAATCTTCGAAGGGTCCAACAGAACCTCCGACCGTCGACGTGTCGAATGTCCAAGACGTGTCGAAGGTCTCCGGTCTCGGGTGTTTTTCACCTCCAGGACGAGGAATCCACGGTGAAAGCCTTGCCCTCGGCTGAGTAGACGAGTAGTTCTGGTCGTAGAACCCGCTTTGCTCGGTGGATCACGACGAATTGGGTGTGTGGCAGGTGAAACAGATGACAATAACGAAGCACAAACCAGTTCGGGAACTGGGCAACATATTGACAACATATTAGTTGTTTCTTGTCTTCTTGTGTTTGAACTTATGATCTATGATAAGATTTCTACAGACATTTTTGAAGGAACCAGGTTCCACAAAACAAGCGCAGAGCCACCAGTGTAAGAAGCTTTCACTACAAAGCACCATGTTCTCAAGTTCCAAGTCCTCTTTTAATGGTAAGACGTAAGAACTTAGTATCTAAATCCATCTTCCACATCCAGCTGAACCCCTTCCCGTCTTCGTGATGCACGGGCCTGAAGACGGGCCACCGAACTCCGCTGAAAACGGGTGCAGAAGTGGACGCGCCAATGAAGTGGACGAAGCAGACGCCTGCAAGCTACCAGCAATGGTCTCCAACCTAGCGATGGCCTCCAACCTCAGAGTCTACTGTAGAGGCTGAGGAGACGGGTGTGTCTAACCAAGAGAGGTAGTGACCTGGAAAAAGACACGTCACCTGGGGTAGTTACCTATAGGGAATAGTCTAAAAGAAGGGTTCTTCAACCTTTGTTGAGAGGTGTGTTTCTTTTTTCTTTTGTTTAATTCTTGAGACATCTTTTAGACCTGCACTTTCGGACTTGCAAATGATTTGTTGCTACAAACATGTCCGCCACCTGCTTTCCTCCAAACAACCCCAAAAAGGCATAGCAAGGAAGATGCATGTAGGTAATTTATTGGAACCTATCAACTTATTCCATTTGTTTTTTCAGGGCACGCCCTTCTCAGAATAGTCTTGATTGATTCACTCGTAAATACCGAACATCCGCTGCTTTCAATATTAGACCAAGGGAAGCATCAAAAGCCACACCCTGCGCTTACCCACCAGTCCTCATGACAAAGACCTCCACGCCCCACCAGGCGGCGCCCATCACGACGACAGCGCCCATCACAACGACGGCGCCCATCACGGCAGCGCCCATCACCGTCCAAGCAGCGCCAATCACCACTGTCCAAGCAGCGCCCATCACCGCAGCGCCCATCACCGTCCAAGCGCCACCCATCACCGTCCAGTCGCCTACCCCTCAGTGCGCCGGGGTTGGTGTCTCTTTTCGAGCGTGAATGGTTGGAGACCCCAGAAATTGAAGCTGGAGCATCGCCTCATTCAGCATCCATTTTGTTACTAGTAGCTTTTTGTTACTGGTAGCGAGCCTTGTTACTGGCTCATTTACCATTTGCACCAGAAAACGCACCGCCCCGAGTCCAAAGTACCTCGATGAGAAGAGTCGAACGGAGGTGACACAGGAAACTTCCAGAGAATGGTCCTGGGGCCTGGCACATTCGAATCGGCCTGGACCCGTCTACGGATAGTCATGAATTATAGTAGAAACAAGTGCCACGCTAGTAGTAACAGGTGCCTTACTAGTAGTAACAAAGAAGCTAGTAGAAACAAGTGCTTACTATCCAGTTCACTATCCTTCTTGCAGGCCCCTGGTAGGTTGGGGGCCATCGCTACTAGGTTGGAGACTTGCCGCAGTTCTTGAGCCCAGTGATGAAACTCTGCCGCAGGTACCTTCCGCAGTCCTTCTCTCCGTTGGGGACGCCTGGGGCGAAGCTGTGGACCTTCACGCAACTCTGCCATTTCCCAAACACTCCATGTATACATGGACCCCCCCCCAAACCACCCCAAGTGGGCAAACATGTGACACTTCTTGGAGTGTTTGGGTTTGGCGAATTCATGTCCTGCAATTGGAAGGGATCCCAAGGTTGCGCCTTTTTCATCGAAGCGTTCCATATCTCCAATCCCAGTCCACCTGTCCCCCCCAAACACCGAACTTTCCAAGCAGTTGTTGACTCAAAAAGCAGTGCGTGGAAACATATCAGTCTGTTCAAGAGTGAGTCACCCAAAAATGTGATGGCAACAATCCTGTTCCTCCAGCATACTATATCAACACCAGAGCGCGGAGATGATTCCACACTTGGACATATATGTGTTTAGACCTATGCCCAACGCAGCCAGTGGAGATTCATAGTTGTTGAGTCGAACTTCCCAGTTGTCCGGAAAATGAACACATGTGAACACCACCAAAGACTCAAAAAGCCTTAGGGTGGAGGCCATCGCTAGTAGGTTGGAGTTGCATCCTGCACCGAAAAGCCTTAGGCCACCAACTTCAGCAGAGTTTTGGCACCGTGCAACGCCATGAGGCCTGCGGTGCCGGCCAGCAGCGCCACCGTGGCGCCGAGCGTGGCGCCGTGGGGTGGCCTATCAGTTGAGGGTTCCAAAGCCATGGGAGGGGTTTTTCGGACGGAACTATGATGATCTATGATGGATCTGAGCTTGAACCATTCGCTGGATGGGGGTGGCAGCCATGACATTCTCTGGATTCATCAAAACACTGAGTTATGATCAGTCTTCTGTCTGATGCCATCGCCGACGCCGAGGTCCGGCCCACCAGTGCAGCCGCCCAGGCTCACGGAAGGGTGCGGGACCCCGAAAATCCGCCGGCGGATGGGAGGAAGCACTTGTCATGGGCAGTTGAAGGCAGCAGGTGCCTGATATTCTATATTGCTACTAGGAGCAAGAAGCTACTAGTAGTTCCTGGCCATACTACTAGGAGCAAGGACGCTACTAGGAGCAAAGGGCATCGCTTCTAGGAGCATTTTTGTGCAATGCCCGTTAATATTATATATTGATGTAACTATATAATGTTTTTTCACCATAATATGTGTGATGTGTGCATGTTTTAACATGCTTGACGTGTTTCAACGTTCACATGTTTACATTAAATCAACTTCATTGTAGTTCAAACCACTCTACATGGTTAAACTTAAATGTGTTGCAATGATTTATCTCAATGCCCAGTACTTTGCTGCTTTGAAACCATCAACTCATCTTCGACTCGTATGGCTTGTCTGTCCACTCAACCCTTAATTACTGCTTTCATTTCATGTTGACCACTCATTTCATGTTCTCCCCCCAAAAATGACCCTTTCACCACTGACTTTCTCCGGGTTGGTGTCCGTCTTCGTCCCGCTTTGGACCCGGTGGATGTCTGACCTGGGCGGACCGGTGCTGAGGATCCCTTCGCCCGATGCCATCGAGCAGCAGAAGGCGGCCTATGCGCGAAGCTTGGATGAGCAGCTGGCGCAGGCAGGACGAGGTTGACTCGGACCGTGGATGGCTCAGACCGGGGGATTCCAAGATGGACGGAATGTACGAATGGAAAAGCACCCTGGAGGAGGAACATGGTGTTTTTGGGGATTGTAGGAAGCACCTCCCGCAATGGTACTGGCAGTTCAGTTCAACTGCAAAGAAGGGTCTGCACATTCTGCGGGTCCTTAGGCTCAAAACCCTTGTGAGTTGTTTAGTTGGTACTGGCTGGGTAGAACTCCTGCAGGGTCAGAGTGGTGGAAATTCATGGAAATTGCCGTGCGACCGTGCGACGTCGGGCTCCAAAATCAAGCAAAATCAAGATCCGCTGGTAGAGCATGGTGCTTTTGAGATGCGTTGATTGTAGGGGGTGCATGGTTTGGTCTATACTATACCATTTTAGGCCCATGTTATTTTTGCTTAATATTGGTTGTAGTCGTATAGTCATCTTTAGTTTGTTTGTAATTGTTGTTGCGTGTGTTTCTTTTCACGAAAGGTATTCTGCGTGCGGCGCACACTTAGGTCATGACATACTGTGACATACACGCACAGACCATCTGCGATTGAAGCTGCGTGAAGATCGGTACTGCAGTCCTGAGGTTTTTTGGATCCATGCAGTGCTCAGTGGTCATGCACTTTGTTACGTTGGTAGCAGCTTCTTTCACTGGGTCTTAGGGGTCCATTAGTTTGATTAGTAACAAATAGCTACGTTCGTAGCGTCCTCTTGCTACTAGTAGTAAGGCACCTTGCTACTACTAGCTTCTTGCTACTAGTAGAAATGCCCTTGTTACTAGTAGCTTCTTGTCCGTGCTTTTTCGGATTTCGGTTGTTTCCACTGTCGAAGTCCTGCGAAATCCTGCTGGTCGATCCGGCATCGGACTCCCATCTTCCACCGTTGATGACGGATGGATCCTAGTAGCGATGCCCTAGTAGCGTCCGACAGCTCCTAGTAGCGATGCCAGGAGCCCCTAGTAGCTTCTTGCTCCTAGTAGTAAGGCCAGGAGCCCCTAGGCCACAAAAAGGCTTCCAAGCACTGATTTTAGGTATTTGGGATCGAACCACCAGGACCATTGTTTTTACATGGGTTGTTTAAGCAGGCCGCACGGATTCATGTCCACTCCCCAAGCTGGTGCGATAGGGATCAACAACTGTTCCTCCATGAACCCTTCCAACGTGTTCGAACCATTCCGCGTCCAGGGCATCAAGATGATTGAGTCCAACAATGAGTCCCGGAAACAGGCACTCCGCCAGGCGGGTCGACGGGACCGAGCCAGCGATGAGCACCACAGCTTGAACTCCATCTCTTTAAGCAAAGAACACATCAGGTAGACTGATGAATAAACCTCCATATTGCCAGTATATGGCCAGGTCTTTCAATCCGAAGGGGCTTTGTGAATTCAAGAGTCTCACAGGCTCGTTCCCTCTTTCTCCCAGACAAGCAAAGATGTGCGCGCACGCGCGCGCTCGTTGTCAAGCAGCTTCTTACAGCCAGTTTTGCTGCCGCAGTCGGGGAGGGTTGACGCCTCGACCGACGTGATTCGTCTTGACACGCGGACTACTCAACCCAAGGAGCGTGGATTCGAGTGGCTACCGAGTTCGGTCGCCCAAAGCTGTGAACGTCGCCAACACCTCTTGGTGTTCCCTGAGAACGGCACACTCCGACGGCGATTCACTGAATTCAGGACATTCCTCCATGCGCGCAAACGCGCACGCAGACGTTCCGTCCTTGGCCCTGCTCTCTTTGCTCCAGGCACAGGCACCCAAACCAGCCGACCACCACGGAACATGAACAGACTAGACGGACGACCTGGCTTCGGTCAACCTACCTGAGTCCCGGGCACCGGGTGCCATGACCGTCATTTGTCTCAGAGCAGAAAAGCATCACTTTCACCCCGGCAAGGTAGACCATGCTGCATTGGCTGCCCTGGGCACCTGTCGGTCGAGCTGCTGTCAATGACTCTGTGCTAGCACAAGGGAGTAGCCTAGTTGGCACAAGCCGTGCAAGGCAGCCTCTAGACAGATCTAATTTTCAGCGTTTGTCACTGATGAGTCTCTCTTTAAGGAAAAACAGAGGAGTACTTTTGACATGAGGAAGGCCAAAGTCTTTTTCAAGCCGCATCTGGCCGCATGCTAGACACTTTGCAGAGCGCATATGACCATCCGATGTCCTTTGGCCCCCGTTCGACCATTCTCTGGAAGTACGAACTCACCTTCAAGATCCAGCTTTGCAACATCTGCACGAAAAACAGACGAGGGATTTCAAGCGTGCATTCTCATAGCAAAATGAGCGTTCTTGCGAGGAAGCGCTGACATTGCTCCACTTGCCTTCCGAGACCGTGCAGTGTGTGGGTGTGGGTGACAGCAATGATGCTTCATGGTTCCTTGATGTTCCTACAGCGTCGAGTACCGCCCACCCAGGATTGGCTTCAGGCATTGGGAATGTCAATCCGTGCACCGCTGGCCGCGTGCAGGCGACCTGCCACTCTGTGCTTTGAGGCCAACCTATCACCTCGATGGTGATGGATGACAGCAAGACACATGGGCTAAGTGCTTGCTGGGGCACAGGCATACCGTGCTTCGCAAGAACTCTGAGGGAGTTTGTTGAGGCGTCCCAAACGGTGTTGCTCACGAGTGGTGACAGAGGGGAGGCCATCCAAGTCTTGGACATGATTTCTCGATATACTGCGATGGTGCCAGGTCTGTGTGTTTGCGTGAGTTCTCTTGCGATGTTTGCACGCTACGAACGGGGCTCCTGGCCTTACTAGGAGCGATAGGAAGCTCTGTTTGCGTGAGCATATTCTCTTGCGATGGTGATGTCCTGGCGGTTTTGCTGGCCTTCGCCTCGGTGGTGTCCTCAGCAGGGGACCCGGTACGTGATGCATTCTGCAAATTTCTGCAATGATTCCTCTTGGCTTCCATGCTTTTGTATGCTCTGGTACAGCTGGTTGTACAAGCACCAGCTTCGGGCAGTACAGGAAGTGTACAGTGTACACTATATTAAATTATATTGAATAAAATTAAGTTACAGAGTCATTCATGATAGTTAACGGCTAGGATTGTAGAATTTAAATGATTTTAATGCGTTGCGTCAATATTAATTTGGTAACTTAAGGTGTATATGGCATTGGGGACCAAAACAGTGGGACCCTGGTTGACCACCGAAACGAACGACATAGATCACCGGACATGGTCCACCTACCAGGGTTGGAAGCTCCAGGATTTGAACCACTGCCATATCATCATATAATCAGATTATATTATATATATATATATATATTTGAACACAATGATATCATAATCCAGTGGTTCAGAATGAGACATCTCCAGTTCTGTGGTGCAAAACATCTCTCATACTCGGAGATGGTTCATCATGTTTCACCCATATCTTAGAAGGCTAGTAGTAACAAGTGCCTTACTAGTAGTAACAAGTGCCTTACTAGTAACAAGAAGCTTCTAGTAACAAAGTGCATCGCTACTAGTAACAAGAAGACATTTGCAGCGCCTCTTCGATACAAACCCAACCGAAGGCACACCGCGGTTTCCCGCGGGCGATGCCGACATGCAAAACATCACCCGACTTCGGAGACCTCAGCAGACCTCAGGAGGCTGAAATGAAGACCGAGCAGTACTACCTGCAGGTGCGATAGCAGTGACTTCCCTTCTTGTATTGGGCGAAGCATGGCGAATCCACTCTTGCTTCGGCATCAAAAAATGGCTTCCTTTTTGTGGGTTGATCCCATCGGTGATTCTGATATGGCAAAAAGAGCTCTTGCAGGGTTCACCATCAGTTTCCAGAGGAACCATATTCATATGATATATGCGTCGGTTTGTCCAACAAGCCTTTGCCTTTGCGTAATGGCATTTCAGATATTGACGTGGAGAAATTCCCAGAAGTTCTCTGGCAAAAACAAGTTTGTCGACACTCCCGAAAACTCACAGGATGACCCTAACTGTCTGGCCCCCCTGGAAGATGGTTTTCAGGGTCCATGTTAGTCTTCCAGGGTGTAACATCCATGCCAGAACCTGCAGTGTTTTCTAACGCCAATCTCTTTGCCTCCGTTCTGGAAAACGGGTTCGTAGGGGCGACCCTGCCAGCGGTGGTAGGTCATTCTACCTCTTATCATTTGAAGATACTTGAGGTGTTTGAAGTCATGGTCACATCAGATCATGAATGCCTTCATGAATGGACCATCTCTCAGACAAGGCTTTCCCGGTCGACGGCGACGTCCACGTCCCGGAAGAGCTTCGGTTCTTCACGCGCCGCCGTCGACGGCGACGGCGACGTCGACGCTGCAGGTGGATCAGCAGCTGAAGGCCCAGGAGATGAGTGTCGATCAGCAGGCGAAGTAGAGGGCCGAAGACGAGGGCCCAGGAGACGAGACTCGTGGAGGTCCTGAAAGCGAAAAAGATCGGGGAATTTCGGGGGTACCTGAGTGGAAGGCATGGTTTGTTGTTTTCTCCGCCGAGAAGACAATTCAGTCAAGTTGGGGTGTTGTTTGTCATGGTGTTTCCCAGAGCTGATGCTTTTCCAGGCGTTTTTCTTCGGGGAGATCGCTTCGCGTTGAGGAACCCTCCTGGGCGGAACCGGGTGGACGCGAGTCGAGGCGAACTACCAGCTCATGGGACTGCAGCAAGCAGCCTTCGAGCGGCGAGCCATCCTGGATCAGCAGGTGGGGGAGGTTTGACAAGGTCGACTGAAGGAGGTTTGACAAGTCAATTGCCACCAATGCTGGCGGCATGCTGGCGGCATGGTGTCAGGTTTTGGGTTCATTTGTGAGCGCTTTCGGTGGAGAGGTTTTACCATCCATGTCTGGGCGGAAGTTACGACTAAAAGTGAGGTATATAGTATATAGGTGATTGGTATTATGTAGACTCTTGAGGACCATAAACCCCACCATTTGAAGTGGAGAATCCTCCTCATATGGGGGGTTGATGGTCCTCAAGAGTCTGGTTGGAAAAATGATCGGCGGGTGATGATCGGTCACGGCAGGGAGGGCTCCTTGCTTGACCTATAGTGGACCTACTGACGTCAGGGTGGTTCGCTACATGGTGGTGTTTGGAGCGCCAAGGTTGAACGACCCATCCTTTAAATGAACTAGGAGCAAGGATGCTACTAGAGGCTCCTGGCCGTTACTAGGAACAATTGAAGCTACTAGGAACAAATCGCTACTAGGAGCAAGGACGCTACTAGGGGCGCTCCTGGCCTTACAGATGTTCACTGAATGGATTTAATGTTGTATTATTTTCTTCCAAGCCGATGATCAGCCACTGAGTCAGCCACTTAGTCGCTCCTTCAGCAGCCGAGTCTCACTGGTCTCTTCAAGATGGTGTTGAGTCAAGGGACTCTTGTTGAAGTGGCTCACCATACAATCAACTTCATGGCTTTTCCCGGCTTCATCCAGGAATTCCTCTGGAAAGAAACAGCCCCAGCTCATCTCAACCGGCTAGGCGGCTGCCGCGACGTTGGAATATGAGCAGAAGCGCGTCCAAGACGAGTTCGCTAAGACTCAGTACGCCCCCCCTTCGGGGACCTGCCGGGCCGGGCACGGAGAGGGCAGAGGGTGAGGAGTTGGAGAAGCTTCTTGCTCCTAATAGCTTCTTGTTACTAGTAGTAAGGATGCTCCTAGTAGTACGGCCAGGTGCCCATAGTAGCGTTCTTGCTCCTAGTAGCGATGCCAGGAGCCCCTAGTAGCGTCCTTGCTCCCCAAGTAATTCAAACAGAACCTTGAAGATGGTTGAAGTGTCCTGGAGGAGCAAGTTCAGTCAAAAACAAGCCACCTTGGACACATCTTGAAGCCAGCCGTTGCCAGCCTTTGCATGATTCCAAAACGCTTCGTTCCTGACGCCAGGTACGAGCATCGGAAGAAGGCTGCGCAGAAGCAGGCGACAGGATCATGCGACGGGGACAGGTCGTCACTGGAGGATTGGTGAAGATGGATGTTCCAATTGACAGTTCCATGGTGTGTTAAAAAAAGAAACCATGGCGGAAACACCAAGAATGCATGTGCCAAGTTCTTCAAGAATGCCCGTGCATGTGCTGCATATGCGCGTGTGTGTGTGTGTTCAATGAGGAGGTCGCCACTCAACATTGTTCCAACGGTTGTTTTTTCACCAGCCTGACATATCTCTCTTACCTAGTAGGGCAAGTCCAAAGGCATTTAAAGCTGTGATGGGAGTCTTTCCCAAGTCTTGAACACATAGGCTGTGGACATGTAGAAGATTCTCCGCATCTCAGGTCAGTTGTTCAACTGGTCAGAGTTACTCCTGAACAAAGAAGCCCAGAGCCAAAATTTGAAGCTTTCAGGTGATGAGAGCGAGTGGTCGTTTTATCGGGATGTCGTTTGACTTGTCAAAGAGTTCTTCAACATTCTTTTCTATTTTTAGCCCGCTCCTCTCTCCTGTAGAGGTAGTAGCTAGGTAGCTAGTGCCTACAAGTAAGCTACTAAGTATGGACGAAGGATAGCTCACGCTCGCACTAATGATTTGGTTTCTAGATTGTTAGGAAAACTTGTCATTAGAACTTGTAATGCTGCTCGTTCGATAGGGATGAATTGACTAGTCAAAGAGCTCTTCAAGAAATATTCTGTTTAAGTCAATAGAAAGCCCTGTGATGATGCAAAAGGGGATGGTCGCGGTCGGGACATGTTTGGACTCTTTTTGTCAATTCACACCGCTCTTTGGTTTCTTTGATCCACATCCAGTCTTGGGATTGTGTCACCTCTTTGGGTTTCAGGCTTGCCACCCAAAACCACCAAAGCCCACGCGCCTTCCAGGCAGAGATGCAGAAAGAGTTGGCCAGGCAAAAGGAGGACCTCCGACTTGCCGACGACCTGACCGATGAAGTGATTCGACTTCGGGAGTCCACCGGTCGACTTCGGGAGCCGCGAGGCCCATCGAAGACCCAGCGGTTGGGATGGGAAGGTACGAGACCCGGAGTCAAAGCCGGTTGTCCGCCCCAACAGCAGGTTGAAGTCCCAGGAGAAACACCACTCACCCACCGGACCACCCACCACCCCGCGCGGTCGTGCTCCGGCCTCGGCAGCGTCGAGGACTTCGCCCGGCAGCAACGAGCCATGCAGGAGGCCTATGCTCAACAGGCCGCTCAGGACGATGACGAGAGTGACGAGATCTCGACGAGAGTGACGGTGAGAAACTCCTCGCGTTTCCGATGACGAGAAAGCGCCACGACGAGAGTTTCCGGTGTCGTTTGTGCGCTTTCTCGGCTTGCGCGCTGACGTACGTGTCGCGTTGACGTGATGTTTTGGGCGTCGACGTGTTCAGGCATCGTGCCGGAAGAACCGTCGGATCGAGAGGCCGTTGGATTCCGCATTCACCGGTTGAACCGTCGGCAGAACCGTCCACGCAACCGTTGGATTCCGCGTCGCGCTGGGTCGGAGGCCGCTGGTTTGGTGCAGGATCGCCAGGCGTCCGAAGTGGGCGATGCATCTGGGATGATAGTCATGCAGATTCCTAGTAGTAGTAAGGCCAGGAGCCCCGATCGTAGCGTCCTTGCTCCTAGTATGCTCATGATTCATGTCGTTTCTCAGGTCATCGGGGGAACACTGTGAACAGCATGTCCAAAATCCAAATATGCGAAAGCTGGGTGTCTTGCCTTTCCATGTTCTTTCATTTTCTCAATGCCACATCCATGCATGGCCTAAGCCACAAAGTAACCCTCCCATTGCCAATTTAGTAGGGGATTAACATTCACGATTGATGACTGTACTCTTGGTGAAAAAGGAATCTCCGGTGGATTTTTCGGATTCCTTGCGTGCCAGGCAGAAGATGTTTCTCAGATTTTCTCAGTACAGAACAGGTGTAGGTCCTCGGCAAAATTACATGTCCACAACTTTATCAGAGACCTGAATATGCTGGTCAAAGATCCACAAACTTGTTCAAAACCCATATTCAGACTCTGGCAGACACGCGCCAAGGCTGGCAACAACCCGCTGTAACCGCCGGCTCCTGGCCTTACTACTAGCAACAAGAAGCTACTAGGGGCTCCTGTCAATAGCTCTGTCAATACATGTGCCCTGCGGATCACTGGAAGTAGAGCAGTTTTTGTCCGAAATGTTCATTCCTTTTCGTCACTCCCATGGCCGACCGGCTGAGCAAACCAATCCTCCACTTCCAGCCGCCCGGTTTCCGACCAGGTCGTAGGCGACCCGCAGCCGGTGACGGTCACAACGGGCACCGCCATGGCGGCGCCCTACGTGGCAAGCTCGCCCTACGTGGCGAGCTCGCCCTACGTGGCGAGCTCCGCCTGGAAGGTGTGAATGTCATAGGATGTCATTTGGAATGTCCATGTTGATTTGCCGTCGAGTCGCCGGACCGCTTGTCCTGTTGGATCACCGGAGGCCTGTCCTGGGGACGGCAGAGGAGCGGTCCTTGTGTTTGGGATGGCCTTGTTGCTACTAGCGTCCTTGTTCCTAGTAGCGATGCACTTGTTTCTACTAGCTTCTTGTTCCTAGTAGTGCCAGGAGCTACTAGAAGTGTCCTTGCTCCTAGTAGCGATGCCCTTGTTACTAGCGGCCTCCAACCGGGAGCGGGAAAAGGTAAGACTGTGTTGATCGCTCACAGTCTTTTTGACGAACAGAATCAATGCCACAATGGAAAAGCAAACTCTGCCTTCTTTTGGGACAACCATGGACAGCCAACTAACCATTTGTTATGTTTCTTGGTGTTGGTCGTTCGATCATGATGTTTAAAATTGATCCTTGAAGCCACCAGTTGACATGTCCGTGCTAGCATTCATCATGCGTTCATCATGTGTGTTCTTTCAAAGCACTCAAAGACCTCTTGAAGAGTGTATATTCCGATCAAAAAAAAACATCCTCAGAAGACCATCCCAGGATGCTTTGTGATGGCTGCGGAGCCATCACAGATTTGCAACGGACCCCTAACAGACCAAAAGGACGACATTGCAAAAGCAGTCTAGGCATGAGTTTGATGAGTCTCCCTCTAGGTGTGTTTGAGGATCAGGAAAAGTGTTGCAAATTCAAATTCAAGGTGTAGTCGTAGTATATTTGTTCTCTCCAGGACGATGATGAGGATAACCACGCAGCTGATCGGATTTGTTTGAGGTACCCTCTCACTTAGGAATCAAGTTCTGCGAATGGCCGGGATTGGCGTCCTCCCCACTGATGCGCCCATTCCGAATTCCATGAGGCCCAATGCAAGGCATCCAAACTGTTGTGAGAGTTTGTTCATACCTTGAACAATTTGAACATGTTGAACATCAATTAGCTCCTTGGCCCAGGAGCTTACTACAAGCTGCCTGCCTGAAAAATGCGGTAATTAGCCAATGAGACATCACTGACATTATCTCGCCCTCGCAAAAAAAGAGAAACAGTTGAAGCTTCCATCGTGGCGTAGTGGTTTCTTTTGATTTGCATTTGCGGATGTGTCGAATACAAACATATACAAACTGCTAGACTAGATTCTATAGATCTGACTGGCATTTGGAGCAAAGATGTTCTCTTCCAACGCCACTCTCTTGGTTGCTATCTTGATTTGGCAGAGGTTTTGATCTTGACTTGAACTTTTGCCCAGTCTCTCTTTATTGGCCATTGTCCCGGTCTTTCGCAGTTGAACGACCCTAGACCAGACGCATGGGACGAGATACAAAGCCCCATGGGGCTGCCCCATGTCCCATTCGTTTGGCGAACGGGAACATTGGAACTTGCAGCGTTTTGTGGCCGTGGAAGGGAAGCTTCTTTTACTTGACCCCAGAAAGACCAGATTTGTGACGTGAAATCTGACGAGAGGCGTCTGGGACCTCGTCCCACATGGCTGAACGGTTCTTCGTGCCGATCCCATTTTTAGGCTCGACGTGCCACCGAACTTGGTCACTGCTTAGGAAGCGGAAGCTGTTGTGGTCGAGTGGGAAACTGGGTGTGTCATCTGTTGTGATGTGTTTGTTGCTGAAGGAAACATTTGGACACCCAAAAGCTGGCATGTGTTTCTTCTTCGCGGTGCGAGTGGTGATGAAACATCTCGGCGAATTGCACTGCTTTGGCCATGCCATGATAGCCTCAGGTGCCGGAGTCAGCTAGTCTCAATGCGAGGTGTAAATCAGCCCCTTGGCCTTTTGACACCCAGATGCATTTGGTCCATACCAACTTTTAGATGTGATTCTCGGTTGAACCAACTCTCCAATTAAATTCAAGACCGGCAGAATGAAAGAAAACATTGCCCTCTATCGATCTCCAGAGCACTGCCGATGCCAGCAATGCCCTAGAACTCAATGAAACTGCAGTTCAAAATCAATTTGGTGATGAGACCGACTCGACTGGGCTTTGGGAGACTTGACAGGGAATTCTGTAACCAAATTGGAAGCCGAAGTCGCTGCAGAAAACAAAAGAGTTTCGCCACGTTTGGTTGTTCACATCTTTGAACTAGTAACAATGTTACGGAGGGATCGGACGCTACGAACGGGGCTCGTGGCCGTACTACTAGGAGCAAGGACGCTACTAGGGGCTCCTGGCATCGCTTTTAGGAGCAAGTAGCTACTAGGAACAAGCACAAAACGTGAAGCACCCGCCTACGTGGTGAAGTCGCTCGCCCGCCATGGCCCGTGGGGCTGAGGAGGTCCCCGAGGTGCGCAGGGCCCTTTGGGGCGGGTGGAACGAGCCACGCCATATATTGAATCTCATGTTGATTCAGGGTGCCATATGTTGGTAGGAGCTTGAAAGCATGGGATTTGTTTGAAGAAACGGTGTTCTTGATGGTGAACTGGTGTTGGACACCGAGGAATGTTCTCCCATGAAGTTGATATCAACAGCTACCAGCATAGGAACCTCCAAAACGATTTAGTCAGGAGGCTTGACTGGATGGACAGATGGTTGCTTGCTTTCGCTCGATGTCACAGGCTGGGCCAACAGTTCGAGGCGTTCAAAACTTTTTCACGAAACCAGGCTTTTTGGTGCTAAGGACATCTAACGACTTTACTCTTTACTCATGAAGTTCTGAAGGACCCATAAAATCTCATCAAGTCATGATTTTCATGGGGTACTTTTCACAGATATTTGACACCCCGTTGACCGTCTCAGACGACCACATGAGGCGAGTGCCCTGCGGGCGACATGGGAGGAAGTGCGGCAGCAGTTGGAGCAGAAGAAGCTTCAGCTTCAGCACTTGGCTGTCGATGGACAGGACGGCGACGGAGCTTTGGTGACTGGGTCCAGATTCCATCCATGAGAAAAAGAGCCTCTAGGAAAATATAGATCTACGAGCTCACTTCAGGTGCTGTGTCAGGTGTGTTTTTGGTTATCCTGTGGGTGGAATGCAGCACTTCTTGTGAGATGTCAGAAACAAGTCACACAAGCTGCGTACAAAACCTTTACAACCTGGGTAGCAGCTTGAGGTGGCCTGGTAGTGCAAAGACGAGGTTGTCCAAAACATTGCAAAGCACCTGTTGGACAAACGCACTCTTTCCTTTATTGTACTTTCTGCAGGAAAACACTGCTTTCATACTTAGAAGAAGGGTTCCCGTTTCATCATCAAAGAGTAATATGGGCCTTAGATGTCTCTGTATGCTAGGGGCCCCCCAAACAACTTACCTAAAAAACACATGGTTTTCCTGTGTGAACGCCCCATGTTTCACGTCTTTGGGCGGGGGTGACTGTTCGTCCCAACACAGCCGCTGCGCGGCAAAAAAAGTCGGCGCGCCGCGTGACGCTCTACGCTCCACGTGACGTCTCCGCTCGGCAGGAGCTGCTGTTGGAGGAAGATGCCTTGAGACGTTCGTTGGACGCTTGGGATCTTACTAGTAGTAACAAGAAGCTATTAGGAACAAGTGCCTTACTAGTAGTAACAAGTGCCTTACTACTAGCAACAAGAAGGCTACTAGGAGCAAAGGGCCACCTTACTTGACAGTAGGGGCTCCTGGCATCGCTACGAACGGAGCAAGAAGCTATTAGGGATGTCACTTCAGTGCAGTCCTACATGGTTTGGTCGTTTGAAAAGGAAGGTCGAATCCAGGATCATCCGGGTTTAGGGGGGGGGTGAATTTGGTATTGTGTGTGTAAATATATTAATTAAAATAAGAATGATATGATATATGTAACGAGCAACTACGTATTAAGCTTGAATATTATGTAAGTATAATATTGTATATAATCCTGATGAGCCGACTGGGTAATATTCTGCTGCCGGAAGGCAGCTCAGATGTCAGATTCTTACGTGAAACTCTCCAACTCACTGCGCAGAACTGGTTCTCCGCTTTCAGCTGGTCGCTTTCTGCCTCAGTGGCTTCCAGTAGTTCCTTCAAGAGTTGCCGTTCATCGTCCCTCAGAGGTTGTTTTTTGACCTTGTCGGATTTGAACTTGTTGCCTTTGGAGGAGATGATGTAGATGAAGATGAGGAGGAACACGACGATCCTGATGTTGCCCTCGACTGCATCATTTTGTGGCCATGACAATCTGCATCTCCTGTAGCATCAGCTTGTGGCAGAGCCATGCCTTTGGCAATTCAATAGATCTCTATGCCGTACCTTCATGCAAAAGTACGAAGGCTTCCTCTCGGACGTACTACTTGTCTCTCTTGCCTCCCTTCCTGAAGAAATTCTAAAGCACAGATCGGCTAGCTTCTGAAATAGGGATCGCGGCTTTGTTGAGCATCGTGTGCCCTGACCACTAGACAGACTTTGCAATGTAAAGAAGTCCTGACGCGACCTGCTGCGCCAACGCAGACCTTTTGGATGGAGCAGATGTAGACCTTTGGATGCCTTGACACGACATATATACTGTGAAATTGCCCAAGATGAATCATCCCCTAGCGGAATCCGAATATATGCTATATATAATCTTGTCTATTTACATACTATTTCAAACCTGTGGGTGAAAAAAGATGGCACACCGCTACGACACGCCAGTGGCCAGGGATTCAATGCGCATGGTGAACCATTCCATGGGGAACTTCCCGCAAAAGACACCCACTGAGCTTATGGGGAAGTGTCATGAATCCTTAGCACTTCTTCAGCGTTTGGGGAGCCTCCCGAACACAAAATTCGAACGAACTTCCATGCAGTTACATCAATGAATATCCCATTGGATTTGGCTGTGATGAGGATTGGGAATTTCCAGCGCGCATTCACTCGCAGGAGTTTCTTTGTCCACAGATGATCCCCACGATTTCTCATGGGGGTCGCCAGTAATATGATGTTGGAGCACTTTTTTACGTGGTTTTTTTGCTTCATACACATGCGTGTGCTTCACCATGACATCACAGACACACAACCACACACATGGCTGGGGGACGGGTTGGGGGGGGAAATGACGCTATGGCAACGACGCAATGACATTGTGGTAATGAGCAATGGCGTTATGGTAATGACGTAATGACGTTATGGGTCATGGTTACGGTCTGATTTGTGGGTTTCTGGACGGTGTCAGTGAGGTTTTACATGTTGGTTTTGGGGGTTGGGCCTCGATGAGCATTGCACTGCAGCTTTTTTTGGTTCATGATATAGAAACACAACTTCATGAGAGAGTTATTTTTGAACAGTTTGGTTGCCCGTTGTTGAAGTGTTGCTGTTGAGACTTTCAGAAACAGACCAATGGCTTTCGTTTCCGGATCCCCGAGTTTTTTTCGTGTTGGTGTAATAGATTGGGCATCCGTGTGGCACAGGTGACACACCAGGGCAAGCAGTTCACACGCACTGTCCCCGAAAACCACGGAACCTCTGTGAGCCCTTTGGCAGGTACCAAAACAATTGATAGATCTTGGAGGTCGTTGAAAGAGTTTCTAGCACCTATGTCCGGGATGACAACTGTAATTCTGAGGTGTCGTTCGTTTCTGGGGGTGTGAAGAGCTAGTTCTGAACCGGAATTCTGAGGTGTTTTGGACACTGTTGTCTTATCCTTAGTCAGGGGCCATATTTAATCATACCCTTCACACCTTCGAATTTCTCCCCGCTGGCCCTGCGAATATTGAAGCAAAGGGATCGTGTACAAGAGCACCAAAACAATCCAAAACACACGGCCATCTATGGCACGTATACCTAACTTCATCGATGTCGCGGCTTCCAGCACCAAAAACTGATTGGTCCTCACAGTTTCCAACCTGTGTTCAGGAAGAATGTCACCAAGAACTGGAATCCAGCTGGGTGCTCAGAGGGGTCGGACCCTGCGAATGCTGCAGCTTTGCAGCCACTGTAGGTTGATGTTTCCGCACTAGATTGTTTCACAAGAAAAGTCGACCAATTGCAACCTTTGAGCATCAACGTTTTGAACAATTGCTGCCTTCGGGTTTGTTTGACCCTGAAGTAGTGGGGGGAGGTTGTTCACCGGGGATTTGGGGTGTACCGAATTGTACCGAATCACCTCTTCGTTGAGAAAGCAGTTGACATGCTTTCAATAAAGACCAGTGTATAAAAAAGAACACACTGTTTCTCCATGAGGTGGTTTTTTTTAAAGAGAACCTGTTCTGTTCCCAGCATGCAGTTTCTGAACGCGTCGAACTCGAGAAAAGTACATCAATGTTTACCTGATGTTGCCTGTTTGTTTCTCCTTCAAAACCTCCTTCATCCTGACTTCGATATGTCAGGAGAGGAGACTACCACGCTTGATCCCTTGAGAGTGTCGGGGGACCTGGTCCGACCACTGTCAGAACGCGCAGATTCTGCGCTTCTCACAGAGACCTGAATTGCTTGGACGAGGTGCCAAAGTTATGTTCGTGCCATATACTTTGCGGTTAATTAACATTGTTGGAAGGTCTTATGTCCATATCGTTCGGAGGGTTGATCAAGATTCAAGATGATCCGTTCGAACAACACAAATGCAACAGGCCTCCGGAATCCGGAGAAAAAAAAAGGTCAGTGTTGACCAATCGAGACTGCGTGTGGACTGGAGCCAGGTCCAAGCTACAACAGCTGGAGCAGCAGAATCAGTTTTTGGCCAACGAGCTGGAGGCACTACGCTCACGGCCGGTGGCGGCATCTGATCTTTGGTGGTGTGGTTTGGACGAACCAATTGACGAAAAAGGATGAGAACACACAGATATATATATATATATATACGAGTCCACTGGAGGCCGTTGGGTTGGAGGCCATCTTCAGGTGTTCTCCTTGGCCGTTTCCGCGCCCCAGGAGATGGAATCGCAGCTCCGCAGCGGGCGTAGCCCGAAGAGCCGCGGACGAAGGGAGCTCCATGGCGCGGCGGAGGGTGCTGAGGCCTTGCGAAGCGAGCTGGGAGAGGCCTGGGGTGGGCTGAGGTGGGTGTGAAGGAGTAAAGGATGGGTGAGGATGGAGCACGGGTGGGAGGATGTGGAGAAAGTCGGATGCATGTGGTCATTTGGAAAGAGAAGTCGAGAGAAGTGGTAGTATTCTATTCTTTAATACAGTAAGTCTGTCCTTTGGAAACTATAAGCGATGCACTTGTTCCTAATAGCTTCTTGCTCCTACTAGTAAGGCACTTGTTTCTAATAGTTTCTTGTTACTACTAGTAAGGCACTTGTTACTACTAGCGAGGCACTTGTTACTAGTAGCTTCTTTAATACAGTAAGTCTGTCCTTTGGAAACTTCACTGGAGGGTTTGTCTCAGTGTCAGTGTCGGCAGGGAATTCATGTGGATGTGTGCCACCAATCCTCAAGAGAAAAGTATTGGGGAACAAACACAGTTGCCATGGCCATTATGTTCCCCATAAACGGTCAGTAAAACGGTCCCATGATTCTTGCAAGAGGTGCTGACTTGGGCAGTTCGGCAGCCCCATTAGCAACAGTAGGGTTCCAAGAGTTAACAGGCTAGAAATTCACCATGGGTGTTTATGCTAAAATCAATTCTTGCATGTCCTTGGCTTGATGAAGGACCATCTAAAGAAGGAGTCTTGATAAAGTTGCCCATTATTCCTGGTATAGAAGAGCAAGCAGACCACAAGTCATGCAGAGGCCATGTTGGGTTGGGGAGAGGTACCTATTCTAGGACAGCGCCAAAACAAGAAAGTATATATAGAACCTAGAACAAGTCCAAGTGTTCAAGTGCCAAAACAACACCTAGAAATAAAATTCACCACTAGAACAAAGTATCGTCTTCTTATCACCATAGGAAAAACCTGTCTTCCTCCTGAAGTGTATACGTTGCTCAGGTTCTCCATAGGACCGTCAACAAGTCAAATCGCTAAGGTGAAGGCGACCGAAGAAGCGCAAGAGGCCCGATGGCACCTGGAGGCCAGGTGCTGGTGGCTGAGGCAGAGGAGGTAGATGGTTCTGCTGATGTTTGTCCAGCGTTGTCAGGTGCCCCTAATGTACCTATTTGACTTCTGGTTAATAGCGGGACAAGCCTATGATGTTTGAATTCGTACAACATTGACTGGCATGAATGAGAATGGAAGGCTAGATGTTGAAGATCTTGACATGTCTTGACCATCCCGCACATGCAAGACAGTACAATTAGACAGCTTGGATCATGGGAGCCTGCTCTACAAAGCAGCCGTGTCAAGATCCGTGTTTTCATCCATGCGAATCCGTTGAAAAATTAATGAAAGCAACAAAAAGAATCACTTCGACATTCCTTCAGCCTCAGCTCCTGTCGTTTTGTCCATCGCGCCAGGGCGCTTCTTTCGTTCCGCCCAGGAACGGACGTGGAACTCGGAGCTGAAGGAAGTGAAGGAGCAGGACACGGCGGAGGGCGCGGAGCGGATCGTGGGATGGGTTGGGTTGGGATGGGGGATTGAAAGCCCTGTGCAAATGGAAGGTCGAAGAGCGCTGGTTCTTGTTCCATGTATTCCATAGCTGATAGACAAATAGTGCAATTGATGGCTGGTTTGTCGCGCGAGTCTCAGCAGGCGTTCGCCTCGCCGATGGGAAAGCCAAGAAAGCAATATGACATAGCCAAAGCACTACGTACTAAAAGACCCAGTAAACACATGTAAACACAAATTCGTTGCAATTTGTTAATATATTCAAGAAAATAGTCCAGTTCATTCCCTGCTGCGACGATTGTTTGGTCATTGATTCTTTTGCCGGCCATGGGAATGGATTAGCATGACTTGAGAGTTTTCTGCAAGCCCGGATATTGCACAGAAACGGCATAATCATAGTATGGCATAGTAATCAAATGAATCTTCCTTATGTGGGTGTCACCTTCACATTGCACATCGTTGGTTGTGTGTTGTTTTGTTTTGCCAGAAGATACTATATTATAGATATAGATATACCCACAGTTTCAAATATAAAGTAACTAACTACAGTTCCAAAGTGTTCCCGTCTTGGACACTGCTCGGCAAGCATCGACCCCAAGACCATGACCCGAATGCTGAAGGAAACCCATCCAGTAGCTTCCAGCTACTGGTAGTAATGTAGCTTCTTGCTACTAGTAATACCAGGAGCGCCCCTAATAGCATCCTTGCTCCTAGTAGCGATGCACTTGTTTCTACTAGCTTCTTGCTACTAGTAATACCAGGAGCGCCCCTAATAGCGTCCTTGCTCCTAGTAGCGATGCACTTGTTTCTACTAGCTTCTTGCTACTAGTAATACCAGGAGCGCCCCTAATAGCGTCCTTGCTCCTAGTAGCGATGCACTTGTTTCTACTAGCTTCTTGCTACTAGTAATACCAGGAGCGCCCCGATCGTAGCGGCCTTGCTCCGTTCGTAGCGATGCCCCGATCTCGAGGATCGGGCACTGCTGTCGGCGCTGGAGGCTAAGCTTCGAGGGCTGGTGGAGGCCAACCAGCTGCTTCAGGAAGAGTTGCACCGTGAGGAGAGCGAGTGGAGTTGTGGGAGAAGGGGAGGAAGATCTGGGAGTGGAGGGTCTGGACCTAGCGATGTTTTTGTGTCTTAAAAGAGGATGGAGTGAAAAGATCTGAGTGAAAGGGAAGATGGAATAAGACTACCACACATTGTTCAATCATTGATTTGCCATGGGATGACAAGAAACACTTCTATACACCTTCCTCTTAATATGTTTGGAGACATGTCACCGAGATTCCTCCAGCACCCAGAGCAGCTCCAGGAAGAGAAGACACGACAGAAGACCACGGCGCTCAGCACCGAGGCGTATGAACAGAGTGTTGAGGGGATGTGTACCGTTTGATCCTGTAAATGCTCTATGAAAGCCCTCCTCCGTTTCAAGTTTCTGTCTTAAATATGACTATACCTTGCTTCGTACTCGAATTGGTTTGCGGATCGATCTCACCTCAGAGGGCATGTCCATCCATTTGGAAGCTCACAGCATTTTTGTTTAAAAGGATTTCACTAGCTATACCAAAAGATACCAAAAGGTCATTTAAAAATAGAAAATAGAATCCTTGAAACCCAGACAGACCTCGTGCTCCAACCTCCGAAGATGTGTTTTCTCACAGGTGCACGGCCACCACCGTTGCCTCGCGGCGCAGGTGCTGCAACTGCGGCAAGATTTGTGGCTCCATAGCCCATCCGAGCGCTCAGAGTTGCTTGGCCGAGGCAAAGAAAACACCGTGGTGTTCAACGGATGTCAACGGTCAAGGTGTTTTGGTTGGGATTCGAACATTTGTTCTTTCCCTATGTTCCGAACTCGCTTTGCGGGGTTTCCATGAAGCAACCGGGTGTCCTTGAGAAGATGAGGAGCAGAATCGGCTACACTCTCTGGAGGTCGCGACGGTTGAATGATCATCGCTTGTGCAAACATAAGCCACGCACTGCATGGACACCTTCCCAATCTCCAATTCCTTCGCCTGTCCGTGCGTTCCACGCAGTGTCCGTTCGGGATCCAACGAGTCCAGCACGGCCCGTGTTTCCCCCCCCCACGGAGAGGTCCTGAAGACCTCTCAGAAAACACCCCTCCATTTGGACTTGAGGTGATCAAGTCACTCGTGGACACGACTCAGAACCTCCAAAGAAGACATGGAACCTGCTGAAACAGGTTGAAACCAACGGGGCAGCCATGGGTCCTTTTGGGGTCCAAAACCACCAACTGGTGTGTTCCTTGGCTATGCCTTGCTTCTTTGGGTGTTGCTTCATTGCATGGCTAGTGGCACTAGTGGTATGGCTATGTATGGGGGGGAGAAAAGACAAGAAATTGAATGCTACACCTAGTGTTACTAGTAGCGATGGCCTCCAAACTACTTGCGATGGCCTCCACCGAGCATAGTGTCCTTGCTCCGTTCGTAGTCAGGCCAGGAGCTAGTAGTTTCTTGCTCCGTTCCTAGCGATGCCCTAGGCTTTGGAGTGGCGCAGACGGTTCGAGCAGGCGAAGCTCGAAGACGTCCAGCCGTGGGTCGACCGGCACACGCCGGTCGGCCACAGCCAGCGGCATGGCGGCATGGCATGTTGGACCCGGGGAGTGTCAAGCAGGATGTGTGGATTCCTACTTGCAGATGAGGGACGATGATGAAGATATGTGAACATGTGTTGCAAAGGGACGTGGGATTGTGAGTGTGTTTTCCATGAGATGACCAGTTAGTCTTTGGACCGGCCGAAAAAATCCGGCCTGTAGCGGCCGAAAGCATGGGCCTGCTGGCGCTGGCGTGCTCCTCAATCACTGGGGGGCACACCAGGTGGTTCAACCTGTGCCTCACCAAAGAACAACCTGCCTTCACAGCTGGAAAGAAGTTCATAGATTCTATGACAGATCCCGTTTCTTTGGGCCCCACCCACACTTCCAGTCCCAAATCCTGATAGAAATCCGTGGAAGATCCCTCCACTTGCGAGGCTTCAAGCCGCTGGAAGAGATCCCTTCCCTGGCCGCCGACACCGCAGTGACCGCGACGACCGCAACGACCGCGACGACCGCGGCTTCGGTGGAGGCGGCGGCGACCGTGGCGATGGCGGCGGCGCGGAGAGCGTCGGCGGTGGTGGGAGGCCTGGTCGATGATGCGCTGCTGAGTATGGGTGCCATGGCGACGAGTCCGGAGCATGTCAGGGCATCGCGACGAGTTGCGGAGCAATCAGACGCTGCTAATTAGGGGCTCCTGGCCTTACTACGAACGGAGCAAGAGGACGCTACTAGTAAGGGCATCGCTATGGGTGCGGGAAGTGGGAAGGGGCTGAATCCACGTGAATCCTGTGAAGCAGGGACCTGCCTCGGCAAGCAAGGACCATGGAAGAAGTTGCGTGCATCGTTGCGTGCCTCTTGAGATTTTGAGTAGATAGGTCAATGTTCCTGGTGCGTGCATCTTCGAGCATCTTTTGATGCATGGAGGAGAGCTCCATGCTGAAGGCTTTGACAGAAGTGCACGAGTTGCACATCGGAACCCGGTGAAGCACCCCCTTGGGTACAGTCTAAAACCTTGAACACTTCCTCCCAGATCATGAAACGAAAAAGGTTCACCGATGTGGTTCGGCTTGAGTTGGTTCTGCATCAGGGTTTCCCAACTCAAGCAGAACCAACCCAAGTGCACCCGATGTGCTTCGCTACGCCCAAGGCGACTTGATGGAACCGAAGGAGCCTAAGGCGACGAGTGACCGTGGGGTCCAAGACCCCAAACTGGAGGCGGACAATGCGAAACGCCACGAACGTAACAAGGGCATTACTACGAACGTAGCTAAGTGCATCGCTACTGCTACTAGTAGCTTCTTGTTACTAGTAGCGATGCAAACGTTACTAGTAAAGATCACGCGCGTTTGGATTTACAGAGAGCTGAGATGATCCGTCTTTGGATGTCAAAGCAATCCTTGCGAAGATTTTGAGAAGCAACTTGACTTTCCGGTCTTCAACCCCTGGGTCAGACGTTCCCCTCCACTGCACTGGTGCATGTGGACTTTGTGCAAATTCTAAGGGACATAAGTTTAACACCGAGTTGGTTCATACCAGCATCAAATCCCTCTTAGAGTCTCAAACGAATATGTCCCAAGACAAGTCATGGAGACGCATACACTGACCTTCCAAGTTCAGTGATTCTGGAAGGTAAATCAACATCCAATCTCATTCCCTCCGGTTCCCTCCGCATCTCTCTGCTCTCCGGATCTTTGGACCAAAACATCCAGGTCGACCAGGCGGAAACAGCGGCCACGGCGGCATCCAGTGCGGCTTCGACGACGTGGTCGGAGTTCTGGGCCTCGGGCAGTCGACACTCGGCCAGCGCGCTGGAACACTTCGGCCAGTTGCTGCAGCAACAGGTGGCTTGATGCGAACAACGATGGGTCGGATGGTCAGATTCAGATTCAGATTGCTTTGGTTGGCCATCAACTTCGTTCAAGGTCGGCTGGAGCTCAAAAACGTGGCACTAGCATGTTGTAGTGCTGTGCATGTAATTAGAGCAGGAAATCACACGACACTGTAGCTTCCACTCAAACAGATGGAATGTCAGCTTGTTCGGGGTTGGACCACAAAGGTCATTGCCTTGATTAAAAGACCGACCATTATCCTATATAGCGCCTATGTGGGCATATGTTGGGATCGAGAGACGTGTATTTGTGTTCGGAAGTCTGCATCCCCCCCACACAATCTGAGTAGCTTTGGGTCCGGGGTTCATAGGTTTTTGAAGACCAATTACCTGTACAAGCCTCTTCCAGAAAGCAAACCAGTACTGGTGAGCAGTCTCCTGCCGCCCTTGCACAGAATCTTCGGTGCCCGTCATTCCACAGATACCAAGGCCACAAGAAAGCTACTAGGAACAAGTGCATCGCTACTAGTAACAAGTGCCTTACTAGTAGTAACAAGAAAGCTGCTAGGAGCAAGGGCATCGCTACTAGGAGCAAGAGGACGCTACTAGGAACAAGTGCATCGCTACTAGTAACAAGTGCCTTACTAGTAGTAACAAGAAAGCTGCTAGGAGCAAGGGCATCGCTACTAGGAGCAAGAGGACGCTACTAGGAACAAGTGCATCGCTACTAGTAACAAGTGCCTTACTAGTAGTAACAAGAAGCTATTAGAAACAAGTGCATCGCTACTAGTAACAAGTGCCTTACTAGTAGTAACAAGAAGCTATTAGAAACAAGTGCATCGCTACTGGTAACAAGTGCCTTACTAGTAGTAACAAGAAGCTATTAGAAACAAGTGC